GAAGAGGTGCTATTTAGGGAGACCTGGCTACTTTCTGCACTTTGTTCTCCTTTTACTCCCTAGAAGCCACACAATTTTGTGCTAGAGTGACTCTTTCCAGACCTTTTATTATCTATCTGTGGACTTGTTGTCCATGAATTTCTCTAATCGCTTTTCAAATTTTCAAATCTTCTGAAACTACCTCCTCTAGAAGCAAGCTTCAGAACTTGACAATCATCTGTTTAAAGTGCTGACTTTTATGTGTTTCAAACCAATTTCCATACCAGTCTGAACAAGGATTCCCGCTTTGTTGTACTGCAGGATTTTAAGAACAAAAGCTCCATGTGCAGCTTATCCATCACCTTCAGGATTTTTTAAACCTTGATCATGCGCATCTCAGCCTCTTACTCTCCAATTTGAAGTACCAACTTTTTCAGTCTCATCTCATAAGCCACTTGGTCTATTCCCTTGCTTATTTATTTGCCCTTTTTAATGTGTTACAGTGTAATTCCACTACATTGTTCGTAAGAACACAGCAACCACAAATGACTGCAAAGCTTAAGCTGTGAGTACACCACAGTTCTAAAAATGAGAAAAATTATGCTTTCTCTTCTGACAACGTTCATCAGTTCTGGGCTTTTTCCCTCACAATTCTCATAGAGCTAATAATGTCAGACTACAGAAACTGATTTTTCTCCACCTCTATGACTGCCAGTTCTCAGCACCTTGTAGGAATAGTTAAGGCTACTTTTCCATAGCTATACCACCCTATATTTACCCACATCAAAGTTTATTGGCTAATGCCTTGCCTAATCACTCAGTTTTGTGAGTTTCTTGCCAAGCAAGGCAATGGTTGGTTAACCAGAAGATCTCAATGTCGTCTGCCGAGCTGGAGATCTCAGTTTTCACTCTCTTCCCCATGCCATTGACTTAAATGTTGTCAAAACTAAACCTAGCATCATTCCTTGTTGACTCCTCTCCATCCTGAAAGATGACCATTTTGCATCCAATTCTTTAACCAGCTTTTAAGCCATAAAGATTGCTCCTGTAGTCCTGTGTGAATGTAGTTTCCTGAATACCATGTAACGTGGAACCTTGTTGGAGTCTTCTGTGTCCACCTGACCTTCTTTGCTCAGAACGCAGCCAAAGCCATGTTGACTCTCTCCCAAAAGCCCATGCTTATCCAGGTGCTCAGGGATCTTTTTCTTTTTATCGGTTATTACAGCAACAGAAAAGGAACTCAAGACTCCCCAGTCTGTAGTTCAGAGGATCCCCTAAAGATCCCCTTTTCCAAAGGCAGGAATTGCCCTGTAATCTGCCAGTCCTTTGGCCGAGCAGCTTTTTGGAACAACAGCTTATTCACCATGGAAAGAAGTTCTGTAATTTCCCAATTACGTTCCTCCAGGAATCTCATGTCATTGCCACTCCAGATACCTGCTGAAATCTAATATACCTATTTGGTCTTACATCATCATATATTTCCTCCAACTTGATCCAGTACCTCTGACATCTCTGCTATAATGAATGTGCAAGGTACAAGAATCTCTTCAACATTTCAGCTGGAAAGGCCAAGGCAAATAATTGACTAAACTTCCCTTTCACAGCTGCCCTGTCATCCCCGAGTGTCCCTTTCACACTTGTGTTGTCTGATGTCCCCATGGACTATCTAGCTGGCTTCCTGCTTTTGAGGTATTTCAAATCACTATTACTATGAGTTTGAGCATCTTTACTAGAGAGCTCTTCAAGTTCTTTCTGAGCACTCTTAATTTTCTCTTTGCAGTTGACCTGCTATGCTTTAGGGCTTCCATTGGTCTCCTCATGCAGGAAAGCTTTCCATTTTTAACACATTTTTAGAATAAGCAAACGGCTGCTTCTCTGTCATTGAAGATGACAATGAAAACTGAATGAAAAAAGCCCCAAACGTCCCAAAATCTAAACCACATCCTCCGAAACGAAGCAGCAAATTCCCTCCAGAATAAATGACAATGCAATTAAAATTCAGCTATTCCTTTTCTTTAAGAAAGGTAGAAGAAGTGGTAACTCTTGTAAATTTTGGTCACGGTTGTACCTAGCCAGCATGTACCCAGGAAGAAGTCCACTGCTCACCAGTCTAGCACAAACCCTGTGCACCGCTTAAATGCCACTTAATCCAACAAAATAGAGTCTAAGTGGGATTTAATTAGCAGAGATGCCTACTCTAGCCATTGTGAGCTGGAGTGAATTTCACCTTTACTTGTCAGCTGAGCTTGACTGATTTGACATTTACTAGGTTAAGTTTTACATATTCATCAGGCTGGAAGGAAAACGTGTAAATGTAGAGAGATTTTTTGCTGAAAGACCAAATGCAAAAAGCGAGTAAACTTGGAATGTGTATGAGTGCAGAAGGCTATTGCCTCCCTGAACACAGCTGGAAAGTCCTGTCTGCTGTCACCCAGGGCTGTGGCAGAGCTCTGCAGGGCAGCCACACGCACGCATGCCCCCACGGCGTGCTGGGACGTGGGCCACAGGCTGGGCACCTTCTCAGAACGCTCTTCTAATTTTCTGATGAAAGAGGTATTTTGGTCTGTGCTGCTTCTCTGAATGATGATAAGAGCCTATTGAAGCAGTGAAATTAACCTCCTTTCAAATTCATGCAGAGAGGGAAGAGGCATTTTTGCTATGTAGGCACAAAACTGCTTAAAATCATTCATACACATCTAATAGTTTTGTATTACGGATGCCGAAGGAATCAGAGCCAGAGCTACCAGCATTATGACATCCTGATTTCACTCATTATGTTTAAAAAGAACACCACTTTACCGTGCAACTTTCCATCCCTGGTTCCCATCCAAAAGTCTCTGACAATACTGTCTAAGGGTGATGGAAGGATGATTTCAGCACAAGTCACTCAGCTGTTTTCAATGGATACAGGTAGAGTTAAAATGCCTTTCTGAGGCATTTGGTCCATTTTGAGATAAAGCTGACATTCTTGTTAGTGGAATATTCAGAAACAGCAGAGCATAAACATTCAAAATTGTGTGGATGGTATCTTTGGCTGACAAAAGACTGTCTTCTAGCCCCTAGTGTGGAGACAACTTTCCTTTTCCTTGATTTTCAGTTGTGATTCAACCAAATGCAGGAGTATTGGCTGGACTGGTACTAAGTAAGTGTGAAGAGAATTTAAAATAATCATAGAATGGTTTGAGTTGGAAGGGACCTCAAAGATCATTTAGTTCCAAGCCCCCAGCCATGGACAGGGACACCCTCCACTACATCAGGTTGCTCAAAGCCTCATCCAACCTGGCCTTGAACACTTCCAGGGATGGGGCATCTACAGCTTCTCTGGGCAACCTGTTCCAGTGCCTCACCACCCTCAATGTAAAGTATTTCCTCCTTAGATCTAATGTAAATCTCCCCTCTTTCAGTTTAAATCCATTGCCCCTTGTCTTATCACCATATACCCTTGTAAAAAGTCCCTCTCCAGCTTTCCTGTAGGCCCCCTTTAAGTACTGGAAGACTGCTACAAGATCTCCCCGGAGCCTTCTCTTCTCCAGACTGAACAACCTCAGCTCTCTCATAATGATTGTTTCTTTTGCCTGCCAACTGCAATAATTCTATTAGACTTTCAAATGTGTGTCTGTGACATTGGGGAGTTACGTCCAAGAGCAACTCAATTTTCTGTGTATTGAAATGTTTTAATTATACAATATGTAATATCACATTCCATGATGTCAGATTTATTTTTCCTTCCTTCTTTAAAACCAGAAGATACTTAATTTAAAATCATTCATTAGCACATCATTAAAGTTGCAGTTTTTGAATGTAAAGCATTAAGATGCCAAACCAAAGATTTTTGACATTACAGCTATTTGAAAGCACATATGTGGATTTCAATGAGAGTTAAGACTGCAGCTAAGTATTTCTCCTGGACAGAATCACAGTCCTGACTGGGGGCCTCAGTTTACTAAACTGTATGGATATCTACATTCCGTCTATACAGTAGACTCTTTGCGGAGAATTAAAAGGAACAATCACTGGAATAAAAATACATTCCCTTTTTGCTTTGAGTAGGAAGTATGATGTCTTTCGGACTCACTTCTCTGGCTGTCTTGCCCTCAGGGTTTGCTCTCCTACATATTTTCAGAGCATGCCTAAAGGCTTGTATCACAAAGTGGAGGCAGAGGACCTACCCCTCTCCTCTTGCCAAGGTCAGTGGTTATAGAACTCACCTGAGGTAACTAACTTTTCCTCCACTGAATATTGCTCTGCTATGCCCAACTTTCCATACATAAAGGCTCAGAGAGTGGCATGTCTGTCTGCAGCTGCAGAAATGTGCCTAAGTCGAGAGGCAGGAGGCACCTGTAGGGATTACTGTAGCTGTACCTGCTGCGATGCAGAGCTCTTGATGGATTTGGCTACCAGACATGGATGCCCAAAGGAGAAAAAATGCAAGTAACAAAAGAAGCTTTACCTTTTATTGAAAATGTAAAAATCATGTGAATCATGTACAATATTTTCTCATAAGGAAAATTTTAGCTGTTTCATAACGTTTCACAAAACTGTAAAACATTTCATTTTTATAAAGACTTTTTCACAAAACAAAGATAAAACTAAAGTAGTGTTACAAAGTTATTTTTTAAATCATCGACAGAGAACTGAAAATGTTTAACAGATTTATTCATACAAGTGGCAAGAGGAAGGACTCTTCCATTTGTAAATCTGCAAAAGGACACACAAAGGTACAGAGGGGCATGGGTTTTTTCTTTCAAAACGTTTAAAATCAAGTGACATGTTAAAACAGTACAAACGTGGATTCATAGGATGGTACAAGTTCTAGGACTGCATTTCTCTACACTACCTCAAACAGTGCAACAGTGATTCAGTGTAAATCTCTACAGTGTTTCATTGATTCAATACTTGTGTTCAAGTATGTGTCCATGAGAATGATCAAAATCTCTACTTAGCTACTTTAATTTTCTTGTTTATAATATAAGTTACAGTAGATTATCCCCTTCAGTATGTTTCTAAATCAAATGAACTAATTTCACAATACATTCTGTAATAACCTGTTCAATAATGTTAGCTTACTCACCTCAACATCTGTTGCAAAATACACAAGATCATTCTGACTCTGAATGCCAAAACATAATAAAATTAAAAAGAGCTTTATTTCCATATACAACAAAACTATTTAGCTAAATTAAAATAAATCCAAGATAACATGACTGTTTCTTTTGGCAACAGAGAGACGACCCTACTGAAAATAAACATTTAAAATACTAGTTACTATTTTTTAAAAATTCTGATAAATGTATCCAACATTGTTCATATAAAAATTAATTATGAAAATGTCAGAGGATAAAACAAGTTGGCTGTCTAACCAAAACAATTAAGGATGTCAGGCAGGCAAAAATAAATTAATTTGATTAAATTAGATGTAATCTCGCAATATTTGGTCTGTAGAAGCGTGCGTGTGTGTGTGTGTGTGTACGTGTGTGTTTATAAATAATAAAATTGCAAAGAGCTGAGAGCCAGCCAGCCTGACAGAGGTCAACTCTTTTGTTGCATTTTTTGCGCATAGAAGTCTCTGCACGTCTCACAGCACCGCTGGTACCACCTCATGTCTTGACAAAGGTTCTTCTCTCTTATCACCTTGCAGTACACAGGCCACTGATCTCCCAGGCACTTGAAGGTTAAAGCAGCTGTGAAACAACAATGATGACAAAATCAAATCTACATTACTGTTACATTTATTAGTGAAGAATCAGGTAGCAGAGGTGACAAGGACACCAGAACTGTATCTGGGGAAGAGAAAGGAGAATAGATGTAGATATTCAACAAAAGAATGACAAAAAAAATCCTCCTGCTGTCAGTATTTTCAACATTAATTTTTTTTAAGGCCAGTTTAACTCCTGAACTGGATTAACTTGCATTGAAACTAATTGCTTTAATGTCATGCAGCTGTCTCCTCAGGAGAGAGTGAAGCCCACCTTTCTGCCCTGCACGGAGGCGGGCTGGGGATGGGGCCAGGGCTACGTGTGGGCTCTGGAGCCAGATCCAGCAAAGCTGCGCGAAGCAGCAGCTCCAGCTGAAACTGCCTCCACAGACACAATTGCCACTGGAAAAACAGGAAGCCTCGAGTTGAATAATAACAGAATGGGGTTCTCCATGACACCTATAAGGTGCTTTGTTTTTCATCAGAGGCAGGCAGGGAAATGCAGGAACTAAAAGCCCGCAGACTGCTGCTGGTTTTCTGATCAGCTTTTGCTCAGGAAATCAAGACTTCGTGCCATGTTGTCAATGAACAGAAACGGAACAAAACCACTCCTGACCTTTTTCTCTCCTCTCCAAGTACATTCAAAAAAAATTTTTTTTTAAAAAATTGTCTTCCAATACATTGGTCTGACTGCATCACCCTCTTTTTAATCACTCCAATGAGTCTTCCCTCTTCCATGTCAAAGTCAGGCTATTAATCCTCACCTTCACATCTTTCATGTCTCATCTTCACCCAGTTATTCAGGTTTCTCTGTTAGTAGCCTGTGGGAATCCCTGACTACCACATTCTTCCTCAGAAACCTTCTAAAATGACAAGAACGTTACACTAGCCTGAAAAGTCACTGTTTGGTTTACTCTACCTCCTCCCACAGTTGTTATAACTATTCAGTTCTCTCCAGCAGTCATAAACATTCAGATGCAGAAGCCTGACATCTGTTGTATGCCTGTTGTATAAAACAGACATATTTTCATGTGTGTTGTCTTTCTTTTTGTGAAGCCATCTGCTAATCCACCCACTTGTTTTGCTTACAAAAGCCTCTTATAGTGCTTCTAATAGAATGACCCTGGTACCAAATTTGGGTCTTTGAACATTCAGCTATTCAAGCTGTAGCACATACACAATTAATATGGGAAAACAGTGAAAAACAGGGCACAAGAAACAGACATCATCCAAAAACCATCATAAACACTGAACCGAAAAAAAAAGTAAATCTCACAGAAGATTTGAGTTACTCTCCTTTAAGAGAAACTGAGATCACATTTGTAAAAGAGTAGAGATGGCTATACCGCATAACAGGAATGGAACTGGAAGCCGAAATGATCAATATGTTCAAGAGAAGCATTGCTGCTGTATTTTAGAGATCTTAACATTTCTACTGGACTGGATTCTAACTCCTGCTGCTGACCTATAGATTACTAACATCAGTGCTACATAATCCACTCTATGAGGACAACATAGCCCAATCTTTTTTGGTGCACTTCACATTAGGTCAGATTTTAACGAACCTGACTCTGTAGTTTTTCTGTGAAACTTTGTGATTCACTTTACTCTGTGACACAAAGCTGCTTATACCTCACCAGAGAGTACCAGCGACAGTGCAATGGCCTCTTGCATATGAGAGGTCAGTTGAACAAAGAAATACGAAAGTATGAAGGGAACCATACAAAAGTGAAGTAGCAGAGGAGAAGGCCATAAGCAACATCTGCCATCTCATCTAGCAAACTGAAACAACGACTACTACACAGAAATATCTAAGGGTTAAAACTTCAAAGAGAAATAACCTTCACTGACTTAAAGGAAAGACTACATACAGCCTGAAATGTTAGACTTGCTTTCCATGCAGGAGTAACCTAGTTGACAGGAAGGTTTATCTTAACAAGGGCTCTGGAAAATCATCTGGAAAAGGTATGCTGTCTTACAGCAAGCCTTTGAATATTCCCAGTCATGCTCAAGAAGCAGATGAACAATTTTGGGAGCTAATGGTAAGGCCATCATCAACAACCTACTAGGAACTACAGAAACACCATTTCTTTATGGTGAACTCAGAGACCTGAGCTCCTCCAGGAACAGCAAATCTCTTCATGTTAGTAATTTTCCTTCATACATCCTAATCCATCAGGCACAGATTGTAGATATCTAAACTAAGACAAGTGGAAAGAGCTATTTGTATTTGAGGAACAAACAAGGGCCTCCTTGATCTCACAAATACCACAAGAACATAGTGGAAAGCTTCTGAAAGAGAAAACAAGGTCTTTTCTTACTTTAGAAACATTTGACAAAATTGAATGGACAAATATATATAAACATATGTAATATGTTTATAATGTCTCCAATATAAGCATATTTTCATCTCACGTTTTGTGTCCATAACATCATACAGTCCCATAATATGGTCCTTCCTTAGATAACAAAACCCTTCACACCATTCTGAGGTATGGTCTCTGATGTACACACTGGAAAACCGAGGCAGAGATGAGTCTCTGCATAGAATTTACATCTCCTAAGTCCTACCCCTCTGTTTTTAAAGTAGGATCGTCATTACTCTATGGCGAGAAATAACTGAAAAGAGATTTCCAGTAGGAATATGTCATTTTGACTGCTTACCTAACCTGGGTGATGTTATTGTGTTAACATTAATTTTCTCATTGCAGGGGTGGAGATGACAGGGTCTGTAGGCTGCAGGCTTTTCTGAGGAAAAGCATTCATTGCCATGCCTTCCTGTGATCTTGTGCATGCACTGGATGACTCGGGACTGCATCCCTTTGCCACAGGTGACAGAGCACTGGAAAACACAGAAGACAAACATTCATTCAAAAGCTATTTTTGCCTGTAAACTTGAAAGTGAAATGCCAGTCTGAGTGAAGTCACTAGCTGCTGCTTCAGTTGTCAGCATTCCAAGATTTCTGCCTTCCATTCTGTTAGCTAAATGAAAACCAATTAAAAAGCACAAATAAATTGGCAGTATTTATTGCAGGACTGATTCCAGCATCCTTGTTGCTCTCAAGGTCCATTTTGTAGAGCCTGTGATGGAAATGAAATGCAGCAATGTGCCTGAAGGGAGCAGGGGTTGTTCTCCTGTATTTACATCCCAATTTGCTCTTAATGGAGGTGAAAGTGATGAAACAAAAGAAAATGCTCACAGAAACTGACCAAGAGAAGCATTTTTAATTAAGCCATTACTCCTGCTAGTGCAAAAGTGCTCTTTCTACTGAGAATAGCATATGCCTCCTGTCTTTGTGTCACATCTTCATGTTTTCATGTGCGTCCCACAAATGAAACACACAACGTAAGACATGCTGCCTGGCCTTTAATCAACCTCCCCATCTTGTTCCCACAGAGAATGAAGTAAGAAAATAAAACAGTTGAGCACTGTAACAATGGTAACATTCTACTTCTATCACAGTAACATAATATACTAGAATGAAAACTTGGACTATGCTATACAGACACATAGGAAACCTATAGAACACTTTTTCTTTCCCCTTCGCTGACTTTTTGTGAACAAATTTCACAGGGTGTGAATTATTTTTATGTCCATTGACATATGTTCTATTGCTTTTAACTACAAATTCATTCAAAAAATTATATATTGCGCAATTCGCTCCTACCTGCTAATGATTTTGACTCAAGTACCCACAAATTTCATGAAGTTTTGGAGAAATTTACTATAGAGGACATCTTCAAATATTAATCAATTTCTTGAAAATATGAGCACTAGCTGAAAATTTACGCCACTACCATCCACATAATCCTGAAAATACTTTTATTCTAAAAAAATTTAATTACATAAATATTCAGAACATATTTCCTCAGGAGAAATGGAGGGTGCTATAACAAAGGAAGTTTCCCGACCACCAAGATGGAGATGTATAGTTCTCTGCAAAGAAAGAATAAATTCTGAGTGTAGGAAATACTAAAGGGGTTTTTACCATTTGGTTTTCTTATCTATGTGCTTTTGAGTGACACTTTAAACACTGTTACTTGGAGGAAAGATTTGCACATGCCAAATGGGAAGTAGAGGGCTTGCACTCAAATAAGAATATCAAGAGAAGTAAGATTAATGTCTTTTGGACTCATGAGACTCCAAGAGAGGCAAAAGAAACTAGGATACAAGCTTGAAGGGTGTTTTCACAAGGGACTGAACAAGGTTCAAAGCACACTTTGACTTGTAACCGCATGAAATCAAACACTGGCATTCCTCAGAGGCAGCAAGTGGACTTGATTTTGCTTCTGTTCTCAGAGACGTATATCAGGAGTAACTCCATAATGTCAATAAAGAATTATAATTTCTTTCAAAGTTGATCAGATACAGCCTGCATCAACCAAGGCATTCAAAGATACTCAATTATGAATACATAATTCTCTATTCAACAGCAACCACAGCTTAACATATGAACAAATAGGCTGTTTACAAGAGGAAATCTAGCCAGTACTGAAGACTTTTCAAAGTAGAAGTCTGTCATCAACTTTGAATTTAGTATACTGCTTTAAAATTGCATGAGAAAAAGTCTATCAATAGAATTCCGTTTCCTGAATTCTCTGCTTTTTCCCTGTGCAGCTAAAAATAATCTAACTTCCTATAATGGCCAACATTATGCCCATGGTAAACATATATATTAATACAAATTTAATCACCAACAGCAGCCAGAACATCAATCTTAATCTTGCCAAAATTCCAGCCACTTCTTGGATTTCTTTCTCCATAATTTCAGAGACATTTCTCTTTGGAATATTTTAATGCCATAGCAAGTGAGACAATGGAATAATGAAATTAAAAAACCCAACCAACAACACATAAAACCCCCAAACCTGAGAATGAAGGAAAGATTAAAGCAATATGATGAAAGTAATAAGATGAAGGTAATCTTTAAAGATTATCAGAGTGATATTAATTTAGAGAAATTTTGCACACAGTACTGTATTTTCTTCCCCTCAGTAAAATATTTGCATGTTTATTAACCAAAGCTAGAGTACATTTGAGCTTCTAGTATATATGTATCTTCTTTCATCAGCTACAGAGGAGGACAGGACAGGCAGGTGGATCTGGTGCATAAGAGCTCCTAAAAATAATTTATCTGCCCTTAACCTTTGGATATCCTTAAATGAGGTGCAACTGGAGGAGAGGATGGGATTTGAAAACACTAGACTTCTGCTGACAAAATGGGCTTCAATGTTTCATCTACTAATTGATAAAGCATAACAATCCATGTATACAGGTGCCTTTGCGGAGAGCACTAGATCTAGCAGCACTCACAGCTTCTCTGTATGAAATGAGCTCTGGCCTGAAAGCTTCTCATGACTGCAACTGAGACAATCTGCAACAAGCACACAGATCTCTCTCTCAGCTAATCAGTGTTTAGGCTCCGAGTCTCTATGAAGAATTGGGCAAGATTTTGGCATTAAAATCTTACTTGGTCAACTAAGATCCCTTTAATGACTGAGATGCTACTGGCCTATGTGAGATATTTCAAAGAGCATTATGAAGCATTACAATGTAGTTTTCTATCCAAAGTTGTATATATCACACAAATTATTTTAGTCTTGCATGACCTATTTATTAACATCCTGACTTTAGAGGAACAAATTAATACTAAAGGATGATAAAATAAAATGTCTCAGTTCATATAGCAAACGTGGCAAAGCAGAAAACAAGAAATTTGCCTTCTGTTTTATCTTTTTTTCTTTTCACAGAAATATGCTAATCTTTAACTTTGTATTTATTCTTCTTTTATAAAACTGAGAACTTAAGTCTTGTAAGATGTTTGGGGAAAATTGTGAAGAGGCAGGGCTACCACATTGATTTGCAATCCAAAACTTTCAAAGACAGCCTGATCAGTTTACCAGTAAAGAGAGTTTTTTCCAAACCTGTGGTGTTTTAAAGTCAACCAGGGATCTGATAGTCAAGCTGTGCTCTGTTCACACATCAGCAGCAGCAGTGGTGTCTGACTTTAGAATTAAGAATTGTACTGATTGGAAGCCAGAAAAAAATATTATCTTTTTACCATATCTATATTATCTCACATTCAAAGTAGTATGAAATAGTACGAAATAGGGAAAACACACTTCAGGTATGGCATTTAGCAGTGCATTTCCTAGCTACACAGACAAACTGAGATTTCTGTTTGTCTCCATGATGTGGTCTTAAACCCGAATTTGTGCTGCATACACACCAGCTAACTGCTGGTGCAGCTGAGAGCAGCCACCAAATATTGGAGGATAAAAGGCATCCATAGTGCTTCTCTTTTTCACTCTCCAAAGGTACGGACTTGGTCCAATTTCACTAGGAGACACCTCAGCTTCTGCAAACCAGGTAGATGCAACTCAGAGCAACAGCTCCAACCCTCATTTTATCATAGAATCATAGAATCGTTAGGGCTGGAAGGGACCTTCAAAGGTCATCTAGTCCAACCCCCCTGCAAGGAACAGGGATATCTCCAACTAGATCAGGTTGCTCAGGGCCTCGTCCAACCTGGCCTTGAATGTCTCCAGGGATGGAGCATCCACCACCTCTCTGGGCAACCTGTTCCAGTGTTCTACAACTCTCATGGTAAAAAATTTTTTCCTAATATCCAATCTGAATCTACCTCCCTCTATTTTAAAACCATTACCCCTTGTCCTATCACAACAGGCCCTCCTGAAAAGCCTCTCCCCATCTTTCCTGTAGGTCCCCTTGAGGTACTGGAAGACTGCTATAAGGTCACCCCGGAGCCTCCTCTTCTCCAGGCTGAACAGCCCCAACTCTTTCAGCCTGTCCTCATAGGAAAGGTGCTCCAGCCCTCTTATCATCTTCGTGGCCCTCCTCTGGACCCTCTCCAACTGGTCCACGTCCTTCTTCTGTTGGGGACTCCAGAACTGGATGCAATACTCCAAGTGAGGTCTCACGAGGGCAGAGTAGAGGGGGAGAATCACCTCTCTCGACCTGCTGGCCACGCTCCTCTTGATGCAGCCCAGGATACGGTTGGCTTTCTGGGCCGCAAGAGCACATTGCCGGCTCATATTGAGCTTCTCGTCCACCAGTACTCCCAAGTCCTTCTCCTCAGGGCTGCTCTCGATCCATTTACCACCCAGTCTGTATTTGTGCCTGGGATTGCCACGACCCAGATGTAGGACCTTGCACTTGGCCTGGTTAAACTTCATGAGGTTGGTACAGGCCCACCTCTCCAGCCTGTCGAGGTCCCTCTGGATGGCATTCCTCCCTTCCAGCGTGTCGACAGCACCACACAGCTTGGTGTCATAGGTGAACTTGCTGAGGGTGCACTCCATGCCACTGTCCACGTCACCGACAAAGATGTTGAAGAGGGCCGGGCCCAACACGGACCCCAGAGGCGCGCCACTCGTGACCGCGTGACCGGTCTCCACTTGGACATCGAGCCGTTGACCACTACTCTCTGAGTGCAGCCATTGAGCCAATTCCTTATCCACCGAGTGGTCCATCCATCAAACCCATGCCTCGCTAGTTTAGAGAGAAGAATGTCGTGCGGGACAGTGTCAAAAGCTTTGCACAAGTCCAGGTAGATGACATCCATTGGTCGACCCTTGTCCACCGATGCTGTCACCCCATCATAAAAGGCCACCAAGTTGGTCAGGCACGATCTGCTACTCATTGTACTGCATATGCATGTGTACATCTTAGCTGAAGCAGACTCTTTCAAAACCGTCTCCTAAGCTTGCCTCACTTTTGGATTTCTCTCACTGAAAATATTCAACCTGAGGAAAATACCTCTCACTGGATGTGCAGTGGTCTCATTTGAGGTAGCACTTGTGGTATGCAGTTAAAGCTGC